AAACCCCCCGTAAAATGGTGCGAGTTCTACGATAAACTTCCATTTTACACCTCTTATCGTAAAATATTCAGTTAGTTTGGGAGAACGCAGTAGTTTAGTGATCTCCTTGGAGGCCGACTTAAAGGTTTTGGCATTGTCGGAAATCAACAATGAGGGTGTCCCTCTACGAGCACTAAAGCGTCGATAAGCACAAATAAAATCTTCAACGCTTAATGATTCGACAACTTCAAGGTGAACTGCTCTCGTAGCAGCACACGTAAACAAGCACAGATAGCATTTAATTTGTTCGTCTTTATTCCATCTACCTGTTACCATTAATGGTCCCGCAAAGTCTATGCCTACATTTGTAAAGGGCGGACCACTATCAATGCGGAACTCTGGTAATTCAGGGCTGTACACGGTCTTGAAGGGTAAACCCTCAAGTCTCTTACACAAAATGCAACGACGTACGAGTTTTCTTACTTGTTCCCTCCCCCGGAGAACCCAATAACGCTGTCTCATTAAGTTTAACGTGTCCTTTACACCGTTGTGGAACACTTTATCATGGCAATCCTTAATTATTAGCTCCGACAACTTACTTTTAGCAGGCAAAAATACAGGTCGTTTGCTACTTTCAGCAATTGTAGACTTTCCTACACGTGTTCTACATCGAAGAATCATGTCCTTATCCAAAAATAGATTAAACTGGTTTATGTACAGTGGTGTTTTCGTACCCTTTTTGCCTGATTCCGAGCTTAACAAATATTTTATTTCAGATGAAAATGACTCGTGCTGAACTGACCGTATTAATACTGTTTCTGCCCTTTGAATTTCCGGGACACTTAAACCTTCGCTACGATTTATTTCAGTACCTTGTACCGCACTTTTCAAGTTGGAGATAAATCTTATAACCCATCCAAAACTTCGTACCAGTTTACCCTTGTCGTTAAAACGCGTTATATCAATAAGTTCTTCGAATTTCCCCTTTGAAGTAAATATTGCGTGGGTAATGATAGGCCCCTGTTTAACCCTTTCCTGCAATGCTTCTTCTACGACCAACTCACTGCCATTAGGGGTATTGGGCCATTCCTGTGGTTCTAATTTAAGAAATTGTGGACCCTCCCACCAGAACGAATTGGCAGCGAGACCCCCATGTTTTCCTCTGGAAGGCAGATCTGCCGGATTATCTACCCCAGGACAATGGAACCATTTTTCTTGCTTAGAAGTACTCAAAATTTTCGAAACTCTGTTCCTAACATATTGTGTCCAAGGTTTCACATTGCGAATCCAACAAAGAGTAGAATATGAGTCAGTCCAATAAAATGTCTCAATGACTTTATCCTGGAGCTCGTCCTGCAAAACAATTTTAACTGTTTGCATAAGTTTGGCAAGTAAACATGCACCTAAAAGCTCTAGTCTTGGAATGCTTTGTTTGTTAATTGGACACACTTTTGACTTGGAAGCAATTATGTTAACTTGGACCTCTCCAGATTCGTAAACACATCGTAAATACACCACAGCCCCATAAGCTTTCTCGCTAGCGTCTGAGAATCCATGTAATTCTACACTTCTTACCTCTTTTCCCTTCTGAAACAAGTACCTGTGTATAGAAATACCGTTAAGAAGCTCGATTTCGGATATAAGTGATTCAAACTTGAGTTTATGTTGACCTTGTAATAGTTCGTCCCAGGCCACCTTTTCAGTACAAAGTTCTTGGAAAAGTATCTTCAAATTTATGGTGTAAACATTTAACAAACCAAAAGGGTCAAATATTTTCGCTACCAATTTCAACACAGAACGTTTTGTTGGCACCAGTGATTTAGCAAACTCAACGATATCTGATAACTGAAAACACAGTCTATCTAACTTGCTGTCCCAGCTAACACCTAAAACCTTCTTACCCGCATTATCAAAACTACTTGTTGCGGCCCCTAATGAATACTCAGAAAATGTTTGGTCATCTTCACCGGTGACCACGCCCTGCTCCACCGCAGGTTTCTCACCTGAGTCCTCTGACTTTCGAATTTCGTCTAACACATTCTTATCGTTAGAGTCCCATTTACGCAAATTAAAACCTCCCTTTAACATAATAGATTTAGCCTTTTCGTATATTTCAAGGGCTTCGTGTGGTTGTTGAGCTCCACTAGATAAATCGTCAGCATACAACATGTTGAGAATCTCGACCACCTTAGGACTCTCCGATTTAAATTGCAAAACATGATGTTTAATGACTTGGCCTAGGATTGATGGCGAGCAATTAAGACCAAAACAAAGCCGTCGATATCGAAAACAACGTATTGTTGGGTTATTTCGAGTCACATCATCATACCATAAGAATCGTAGTGCGTCACGATCCTCCTCATTAATTTCGATTTGGAGGAATGCCTTCTCTATGTCCGCTGTCAAAACTATTGGCTTCGTGCGAAATCGTATTAAGGTGTTAAAAAGATGCGGCATAGAATTCTCCCCTGTTTCAAGACAATCATTTAGAGACAAATTTTCTTGTGAATTTTTCGCGGAACTGTCAAAAACTATACGCAGTTTAGTTGTCTCTCTATCATTTCTTATAACACCAAAGTGACAAAGAAAATGCGACCCTTGTTTATCAATATTTTCTTGAGAAACCTCTTCAATAATACCATCAGAAAGTTGCTGCTGAAAAATTTCATCATATTGTTTCAAAAGATCGGGCTTAGTTTTAAGTTTACTGAACAATGATTCAAGCCGTTTCTTACTCATATCATAATTTGAAGGTAGGCTACGATACAAATCATCTTTAAATGGAAGTCTTACCGTGTAGCGACCATCCTTGAAGTTGATATCCACCCCTCCATCATCGGTCTTCTTGTCTTCAGGATTCTCGGTTTCATAAAGACCCGCGGATTCGTGCTTCCAAAATTTCGTCAGCGATTCGACGATTTCTCTGCTATCATCTGTAATTTCGTCTCTCGAAGGTAAAACATCAACAATTAAATTCATCACATTATTTAAAGAGCTTTTATCACCTTCATTACAAACAACAGGTCCACAAAGCAACCAACCGAGTTTGCTACTTATTGCAACAAGGCCATTGCCGCCCTTTCTTACTTCGCCTTGCACTATGCGATAATAATAATCTACACCTATGACTAATTCTATGCGCTTTTCGCAAGTCGCATAACTATCGGCGAGTTGCAAACCTTGCAAATGTGGATAGCAACTTACATCTATTGGTGTACTTAATGGCAAACAAAGATGGGGGGAACTTAATACGGTTAACGTCAATATTTCATCTCCTACTTCTAGATTTACCGTTACCCTATCACAACTTTTCTTCTCATATTTATTTGAACCGAAAATGTTCAAGTATACGGTCTCTGTTTTCTCGACCTTCAACCCCAGCTTCTTCACCGTTTCTTCTGAAATGTAGCTTCTCTGACTGCCTGAGTCAAACAGGATGTTCACCAGCTGTTTCTCGCTCCTATCCGCACCAAAGCCATACGTCTGTGCTGTCTGTAGAAGAACATTTTTTCTCTCATCTGACGCGGAATTGACCGTCGTTTGCAGTGCAGGTACCCCTCGCTTCTCTTCCATAACTAGGTCTTCGTGCAATGCTGAATTGTGTTTGCTTTTACAGTGAAAGCACTTCGGTGGACTTCTGCATGTTTTCGCTCGATGACCAATCCTCAAACAATTGAAACAACGATTTCCTTCAATCAACTTTGATTTTCTTTCTTCGATGCTTGTAACTACCTTACACTTTTCTGCATAGTGTTCCCCTTGACAAAAATAACACTGCAGCTTTCGTTCCCTTTTTCCATCTTTGATAACTGCGAAGGCTCTCGTTGTTCCTCGATATTCTGTAAGGCTTGTTCTCTCAGATTTTCGAGTGGTCTTTGTGTCAAGTTTTCGGCTTATCTCCCTTGCCTCAATTTCTTTCCTTATGATGTCCAAAATCTCGTCTATTCGCCAAATTTGCTCTGATGTCTTTCGAGCCACTTGCAAGGTAATTTCTGCCGGCATTCTTGACATTATCACGGGCACTAACAAACTGCCATATCGTTCCGATGAAATGCCTAACGTCTCCAGTCCGCGGACGTGCACATTGATATTGTCGTATATCGCTCGTATCTGTGACACAGTTTCTTTTGGACAACTTTGCAAATTTAACAGCGCCTGCATGTGAGCGCTAATTATTTGCTGTGGATTTCCAAATCTTGTCTGCAAAATGTTTATAGCATGCTCATAGTTCTCTTCGGTAATTGCCAGCCCCTCCAAGGCTTTAAATGCAGTTCCTTCAAGTGATCGCATTAGATAGTTCATTTTGTGAACCGCCGATATCTGTTCATTTTCATGCACAGCACACTGAAAGCTTTGCCAAAAGGCTTGATACTTCGTCACATCGCCAGAAAAATTAGGCAAATTAATTTTAGGCAGCTTTACACCAATATTTTCCGAACGTGAGGAGCTACCACTCCTATTCAGCTGTCCATTTGCTGGTGCGAAGGGCGTTGCATCGGTCGTCAATTCATTTCGAATAGCGGGTGTCGGTGTAGAAACTCCAGTCGGTTCAGCAAGTCCGTGTAAAGCTCCAACAACAGTACCCCTTTTGCAAGCCCCAATTCTCGATATAATTTCCTCGATCTTCACATCTATCTCGGCTGATTCTTCGATTTCTTTCTCTATTTCGTCAATATGACATTTTGCCAAAATTTCATCGTTCAAGTTACACAACAGCCTCCTTTTCTGCTGAAGAACAGACAAAATCGAATCCAGCTTCGCTAGGATTTCCGTGGTAAGGGCATCACCATGATCTCGTATTATCCAAGTCGCTTCTCGCTCGAACCTCGTAATTACTGCCCTGTTTCCACCTCGGGTTCTCTTCAGTCTCTCCATATTTCCGTTCTCGATTCTTCCTGCTTCCGCGCGACGTTCAACTTCGTCTTCCTGCGTGGACATTTCGTTTCGTTCCAACTCGCTTAATCTCACAATTCAGCTCGAAATATTTTTCTTATACCCCAGGCCCCACGTTGGGCGCCAATTGTTGTAAAGTCTAGGTCGGAGCATAGAGAAATTCCATTTGTGAGATTATGTATGTGATTTTCTTAACAAAATTGTGCTTACTACATACTCAGCCGCAATAGCCAACTAACTAACTGTGAGGTCATGTGCCGAAGCGATTTAGCACGAAAGACATGTCAACGCAGTGGTCGACGGGAGAAAGACTGGGCACCACCCTATTCCCAGGACTCGATCGCTCCAACATGCATCATTACCAAGAAAGAATTGTTTTGCTCTAAGCGTCATTTTCTTTATTTAAGTTGTTATTTTCGCTCTGAAAATTGTATACTCTGTGTACCTTTAAAGTATTGAGGAGGTCCTGTTTTATTTATATTTTTAAACATGCAAGGCCTAAGCTGTATTGTTCATTACTCGAGCAAATATTGTCTGTACAGTAATATTAAAGATTTGTCTGACATAAATAAAGAAAAAATTGCAAAGGCTACTCGTTTACGACTTGGTGGCAAAAATCTCCACGAAGAACAATGCAGCTCCATTCCTGATGAGGTTGATCCAAATAAGCACGGAGTTCACTTAGAACCTTGTTATAAAAAATTTACAAAGATCCTGTCCCGTGAGAAATTCCTCGCAGAAACTAGCACTGAAGCTATTCAGCGTCCACAAACACTAAAGACTGCAGCTACTCAGAGACCAGATGTTTATCCCCAGGTGTGTAATTTTTGCCAAAAGTACCGGGTAAAGAGGCAACAGAAACATCATGTACCAATAACGATCACGACGAAGCAGGCCGAACTAACGTAAAAGAAGATGCCGAAGCCAATATCGATCAGAACATTTATTATGAAATTAAAGATGTTGATCTCATAGCTAAAGAATTTAAACACCATGAATTCTGCTACAAAGAGTTTACAAGGAAAAAGAAACGCTTTAACTCGGCATCCATCGAAAAAAGTTGTTGTACGCTCTCCATCCTCAGACATCGACATCTTGGTAATTTTATTAAGTATTATTAAAGAGCAAAGTCAAGTATATCTCGATTTTGGAGTTGGTTTGAATAGAAAAGGACTATTTTTGTCTGATATTGAGATGGAAGATGGGTTGAAGAAATGCCTGATAGGCTTTCATGCATTCACGGGGAATAACTATTTGTCTTTTATATATCAGAATGTTGGGAGGTTGTCCAGAAGAACAACAGATTTGTTAACACATTTCCCCTACTTGGGCAGGTATGGGAACTTGATGAGCAAATATTTGTTAACCTTGAAGAATATGTTTGCCATTTTTATGGATATCGGCAAAAAATGTCAATGATGTGAGGAAAAAATTATTTGGCAAGAAGTATGTAAGGCAAGGCAAAGCCATAGACATTTCACTCTTGCCTCCATGCCAATCATCACTGAGGCTACACATATTGCGATCAAACATCATTGCAAAGATTTGGAAGTCATCGGGTGAAAGGTCCATAAATTTGACAGATCTTTCTACTTCGTGACCTTCGGAGATGATAAAGAAAGTGAAAATGAAACCTAAAATGGATAAACAATGAAAAATGCAGGTATCTTTGCCTTAACTTGCATCTTTTAACATTCAAGAGTATCAAACAAAAGAATACGTGGTACAAAAAAAGAACAAAGGTATTCTGTTAAAAAAGCTCACCTTCCAAATATGGTAAGGGGTACAAATTCGTCACATGACTACTCTTATTGTAGCAATATGTCGGAATTTAAAGAAGAGGCTCTAAAAGACTCCCTCTAGATCATTTTTTATGATAACAAGCACTTTCACTTATCTGAAGTCGTAAACAAAACAGTGGCTCCTCCGCAGAGGTAATATGCTAATATGACGAACTTTAACCCCCGTATTTACCTCATTAACCCCAACAATTTCCCGTTCACCATCACTTTTCCAAGTAACCAGACCCATAGCTACCTGAAAATATCCATTTGAATTTCTCCGCCCTGAGGTGGTACCTACCGCCACTGTAGCCCGGTCTATTGAGCCAGGGTGCGTTCCGGAAACAAAAATCCGTCAAGGCAGGCCAATTGCAAAAATAGTTTAGTAAGACAAAGACAGGCCAATTTCGTCAAGGATAGCCGAATCATTTCCAACTGCTAAAATCTTAATTGATTCAAAACGATAAAATATTGATGCTATGGTTTTTTTCTGGGATAAGTTGACAAAGCCCACCAAACATGCAAATTTGCTGAGAGATGACATAATCTACCGACAAAAGCGTGTTTTACTGGACCATTTTGAAATATCTGGACTAGCCCTCCCCACACCCCGCAATTTCAACCACCGGCAAAGAAATGCACGGAGTCAAGAACCCCAAGTTTTATTAGTAACAGCATTGCCCAAACCCCTCTCTTTTGTGTACCGATGGATGAATTTATTTGGGTTACAAGGGCTCTAATGGCTAATGTGATGCTTCAGTCGAGCTCCTAACCAACGTAGCCGAGTAACAGGTAAACAATAAACAAATTCATGACAATTTACAGAACGTTTTACATTCAATCAAATGAAGTTACCAAACCTGATTAAGAAGTTGTTCATATTTCTTCAGTTCATCCTCTCTGAATCAATCAGATCTTATCCTTAATCTCACTGAAGGTACAAAGCGCAAAAATGGGTTCACCAGAAACGGCTGCTGCAAGTATTTCAACTAAAATGGTAATAATCATCATTGCGGCAGTTTTGGCTGTCTACATGCTTGGTTACTTTTGCATCGTAAGCAATCTTTCTTTTTGATAATATTCCGATTAAAAAGCTTTACTCTTTCTGATTAACCGACGTAATTTCCACTGGCGTTCAAACAAGCTAAATTAGGAACCTTGAAATTGCTGTCCCTTGGTGCCAAAACGACGTAGAGTTAACTTCAGGTAACGCTAACTTTTGACTAAGCCAAACCTCTTTGAAAGTTCGAATGTTTTGATTGCCGCAACCCCCTATTCCCCTAAGACTCACCCTTCCTAGGGACTATCACAGAATTGCGAGTAGATCTCGAGACTGATTTTGTTTCTTTTTTCATACATTTCTTACCTCAGTTACATTTCCTAACACGTGACTGCTGCGCATGCGCATTGGTCGTGATTGTTAATTTCCTTACTAATGTTTGCCTTAATTTTGTCTTTCCGAGGCTAATTTGCGCGAGAACTTTGGGCAGTCCACGTAGCCGGCTTACTGTTAGAAAGTGGTGAATAATTTCGCGACAATATTAAGTTTTCGCTTATTTGTTTTGATAAACCTTGTCATATGTGCACTCAATACAAATTTTTCCCTTCCAGCTTGCAACACAATCCGACTCTTACGAGCATATAAATGTGCCGAAAGCGCATGTCGTTTCAACTGTCAATAAAGTCTATAAAGGACGAGGCCAGGCTATGCAAGTGAGCAAAGTAAATTGAAACGAGGTTGTGCAAAGAGGCTGGATAGGAGGTCAAGTGTTGCCAAACGTATCTCTTATGGGTGTATTGGGCGGTGTCTTGCCCTTCTTTGATTATCTGCCGAGTTGGACAATTGCAGCAAAAGAAGGTGTTACCCCTAAATTTGTATTATCTATTTCAGGTTTTGAGAATATTCTGATGATTCAATGTTTACCTTTAAATGGTAAAAAGGAACCTTGTTGTTAAGAATTCTCGTGCAATGTAAAACGCATACTGTACGGCAATATTCACATTCCCCGCCCAATGTAATAAGCATGAATTTTCGAAAATAGAATATAAATGTCGATGTGCTCATTCCCACTCATCTGTCGTTGTCTTCTCGTTTGCTCTTGTTCATTTTGACATGCATTTAACCATGTCGTGAGGTAGGTTACACCATATTAAAGCTTGGCTATCAGATTCAGGTGTCGTGTTGAACAGGGCCTCCGACGACAAGGAGGGCCTGGCCACGGTCCCCATCTATTTTGCAAAACAATAGAGCTCTTTAAAAACCTTTGCGGTTTGTGGTATTTTTTCAGTGGGACGCATTACAATTCTTGCATTGGGATGCGCCACAACAACAGATACAAAATGGCCCGTGCACATTGAAATTTTACGGCAAGTTTATTATTGGTAGCTCAATAATAAAGAGAGGTCTTATTACTTAAGGGGTGTAGCTCGATCGAATTATTACGGAATTATATGGCAAAAGCTAACGCGCATCGACGAACGCGCATCGAAGTACGCGCATCGAAGTATGCCACAGTTCTTTTCTTGATGTGACAGCCACTCGTGACATTTACCCTTGAATTCAAAAACTGGCGATTTTCATCGTTCTCTATAAACATCAGAAAACAAGGCTGCGTTGAGCTTGGCACAACAATGATATCCGAGGCTGCGTTCAGAGGCCAGTAAAGAAGCTATAAAATAAGGTATAAAAATCTAAAGATACATCATTAGGGAATGAAGCTGTCTTAAGTGCCATTTATGAAAAAAATATAAATAGAAAATTGCTGGCCAAACGCGAGAGGCTTTGATAGTGCTCTGTGATTGGGATAAATTGATATCTCTGAATTTATCGTTGGCAAACATAATATGTTATTTGAGAATAAATAACGAGCCTGTTTACATGGTGATGAAGATACCAAATTTTCTAGGTTAGGCGTGTCCCTTGTGAGCGATAGGGCGAGGGCATTGACTGCTAGGGGCACCAAACAAGACGTCTCCAAGCTGGATTGAGATGTTGTTTGTTCTGATG